CGGCGCCGTGTACAGCACGTGCATGATCTGGGCCATGAGCGGGGTGACACCGATGCCGCCGCCGATGAAGACGACCTTTGTGTACGACGCCGGTACAAGTGCGGGCGAGACGTAGCCACCATCCATGTACACGACGGGGTCGACACCAGAGGCCGTGCACTGGCGAATGTACTCATGCACCTGGCCAGACCACTGACCAAGCGTCTTGATGTACACCGTGAGCGAGCCGGGCGTGTGCAATGGCGTCGACGCGACGCTGAACGGGTGCCACTGCGTCTTGGAGACCGACGGGACCTTGAGGTAGACGACGTCGCCGGCCTGGTACGAGGTTGCGCACTCAAACACGAGCTCGGTCACTTCGTGCGGGTACGCGGCCGCCTTTTGGATGACGACCGGCGCTTGGATGGTCGCAGACGAGAGCATGCGGTTGCCAATGTAGAGCACGATGGTGGCGAAGAGCCAGATGGCAATGTTGCCCCAATGCATAATCGCAAAGGCCGTGGCGGGAATGAAGAGGAAGTGGGCGGCGTAGAACACCTTGTAGTAGTGGCGGCGCACGTACGGGATCGACGTGATGCCCATGACAAACATGCTCAGGAACGAGAGCCACCCAAAGGTGTTGATCCAGTTCATCTTGCCACCCTTGGCCACGTTGCAGTCAAAGCACGGCAGCAGCATGAGCGATTCGTTTTCAGCGATAAACACTTGGACGTAGAACCCCGTGTGCACGGTCGCGAAGAGGATCACGACGATACCGAGCCAGCGGTGGTACTTGACGCCGTGGGCGTACGGGATGCCGAGCCACTCCATCCAAAAGCAGTGGCGCGACGCAGGCAGCGCGAGGAACACCATGTTGTACAAGGTCGAGAAGCCGAGCGTCTTGGCCGCCAACTCGATCTTGGCCTGCGTCTTGGTCGTGGGCTTGATGCGCGGGCTGTAAAAGTAGTAGAAGAAGACGATGTTGCCAACAACAACGGCCAGCAAGAAGAGGACCTCGCCGTAGCTCACGAGCGACCACAAGAAGCGCGGCTTGCGCTGGAGCATGTGCGAGAGCGCCGGTACCGGGAACGTCGCGCCACGGGTGGCCAGACGCACGATCAAGAAGGCCACAAACATGGGCAAAATCACGGCGAAGAAGAGATACGTGTAGTTGACCATCTCCGAGTGGCCCGAGCCCTTGACCTTGGGGTTGACGTTCCAGAGCGGGTTCAAGTACGATGCCGTGATCGGCGCCGTCATGGGCGTGTAGATCACCGTGATGGCAAAGATGGAGTAGAGCATGAGCAGCCCCGCGATGATGTGCGGGACGAGCGCAAATTTGGGCGGCGCGGGCTTGGCATCCAGGTGCAGCTGCACGTGTTGCGTCGGCGTTGAGATGGCGTGGAAGGCCATGTCGGAGATGAAGCAAATTGAAATGTGAGCCTCTCGACCACCGCCTCGTTTTGTCCGGCGAGTGAGCACTTGCCGATTCGTTGAACGCGGTGCTGAACAGTTGGCTCGATGCTTGCTGACGCTTGCATATACGTGGATTACTACGTCGATTGAAGCTGCTTTATATGGTCGTGCTGCTGGTATCTTCTCGGACGAGGCTTGAATTTGATTGGATCTGATTCAGCCAATCAAATTCTCCCATGTCACGGATTGGCTAACGGCGGTCCCGTGAGCGCGCCAAGAGTCAAGTTGGCCCTGGCGTCAAGTGCCACATGGGACCTCGACTACTGCCGCATGGTTTTGTTTGGCTGAGTGAAACCCAGACTTGATAGGTGGACGACCATCCTACCGCGTCTTACTTGGCTGCGAGGAGCTTCGATTTCGAAGGTGATCGGTACCTGGAAGGCGCGACGAGTGTATGAAGACGACTGTGCTTATGAAGAGGTGGCATTGAGACGGCTGATAGAATTGAGTTTTATGTAAACGGGGTGTTATCTCCCTAGCGAGCACCGTCTTCGAGGTCCGCGGCTTCGCCTCTACTTTTACTTTTCCTGCTTGACTTTTTCTGGTTCAATGCACGCTCTGCATGAAACCAGAATACTAGTTCGTGGTACGCAGCGCGCAAAAACAGTCTACACAGTCGGATTGTTTGTAAACTGGGTAAGAACGTCTTGGGACAGACAACTTCTATATTTCTTCAGAGCTTGGATTTGTTGGTGGTGCGTGTGTGCATTGCTTGCGACAACTGCGCGACGGCAACGGCCGTCCGTGGCCAGCAATTCCTCTTGCTGGCATCTACGCGAGTGCTTTACAGGCAAAATCAAGTTGAGTGAATGCACTAATAGCTTCGTCGACGGCAGGCGCCGTGGGTTTTTCACCCAGTACCAGTGCTCTCCTGGCCACGGAAATCCGTACTATGTAGTAGACAGGATGCGGGTTGCCTTCAAAACCGTGCAGCGTCAGTGGGACGGAGGCTTCTTTGCCGCTCCTTGTACTTTATACGTCCACGATACTGTCTACGTAAATCTGAGCCGAAACAGTACATAGCGTGCAGTTGTTTGCTCAGCGACGGGGATTCAGAAAGGACGTCTCGTCGGCGAATTGCAGCCAGGGCGCGTGCCCAGGCCTCCATCACGTTAACGTTACCAAAACTGTCTGTCTCAGCGTCCCGGCAGTCTCGTCAATGGGCCTCCGCTCCAGCAGCTTTGACGCGTCGAGTTTCTTGAACGCTCCGTGGTCAAGCCCCGATCGAATCTGGTGCTGATAATATCGAACGCTAGCGTCCAAAGAAATGCAGGGGACATGGATGGATCCATGCCATTAAACCAGGCATGAGAAAAAGCGCGTCAGAACGTGAATAAATCGCTGCTGATTGGTAAAAATGGTCTGCAAACGTACATTCCCACATGTTCTCCGACGATCGATTGCCTTGCACAGTGGATGTCCTGTCGCGCTGACAAAGACAAGACCATGCACATCATCGCCCGTCGCGACGAGATGGTAGGTACAGACTAGCTCCTATGCACGCTCTACAGTACTGTACCTACTTGCGTCGTCTCCCGCCAATGTGCCTCGTCACACGAGCTCCGGTATCTTCAGGATCAGACACTTTCTCAGAACGCCACCTTGGGCGAAACGGTCGTACGTGCCTAGGCATGTCAAGTGTGCGCCTAGGTCATGCGTCTTCCGACAGGGGCGAGATGCCTCGGGCAAATATCCACCATCGAATAATCACTGTCCATACTCGGATGATCGCATTGCTGCGCTCTGGCGTTTGATATGTTTCTCGGCTCGAACGCAGCAGCCGAGTCTTCCGGTCGACGCTGACGAACCTTCCGGCTGCTGTTCTCGCGACCAAGGCGGCTACGATTACACGCTTGCACGTAAAGCACTTTGCTCGTCGCTAGTCGCGTCACTCAACGCTCTTCTCGACGACCCTTGGTGCGCACGCTACCTTGTTCCTCTCACGATCCCGCAACACGACCGCTAACGTCCTCGCTGGTCCCAATGGCTTGCCTCATTAGCATATTATGAACATTTGCATATTTACAATTGCATGTTACTATATCGTGTCAAGAATCACACCGCTGCCACTACAACCTTCAAAAAGCGTCTCGTGGACTCAGCATCTGCAGCGAGTCGCAACGCACCTTCCACCACAAAACGTGCAGTAAAAGCAACGAATTCTCGAAAGCACTCAGCATTCAGTGTTCGATCACTATGACGCAACCCGCCTACCTCCAAGGGCGTTGCTGTTTTTGTAAGCGTCGCGAAGTTTTCCTGGGCGAACGCGCCTCGCGATCAAGCGCGAATCCGATCTCTGCAAGCAGGGGTAGTACATACAGCTATTATGTACCCCTGTCTGCACGTGCTAGTACGAACTTGGCGGTGGGAGCCGTTGCCCTGTGTCTTGCAATCGACATGGACTATGGACGCGTGTTGTTCATGACGTACTGTCGACCATCCCGACGGAACCTTTAACGGCGACCAAACGCCATACTAGTCCCGCACTAAAACTTTACTACAGTAAACGTAGCTGCGACACAGAGAGATATGCAGCACACCAGCTCATGTGTTGGTGTCATGTAGCAAGACATGTACGTGCTTAGATTGGTATCGCTAATCTCAAAGCAGCAGCACTACATGTACTGGATGGTCTGTGGCTGATGTGTACTATGTACCCGGCTCACGACACGAACCTTAGGCTAAGTGAATGGCTTTCTGCATACACCACGTCCCTTGGATGATTTTCTCCGTCCCAAAAGCTAGGCTAGCATTACGCAAACGCGCTCCTCCCGCGTCTTTCGTCGCCACGATGAAATAATGTGACGTCTCTTCGCGTTCCTCCAGCACATCGTAGTGCCAAACTCGGTTCAAGTCGTCTCTATTTGGTGCTTTTCTGTTGTTGAAATGAGTCAGCCTTGTAGCTTTTCGATAGCATAATAATGGTCTGGACACAAAACTGTGGTTGCTTGCATGGGTGCCGTTGGAGGTGATATCCGTTCGAGGAAGGTCCGGCGCACCCAGATCCATGATACCCCTCTAAACACCTGTTTTTGTATCAGCCAATTATATCCCGCCAATGGCACGTCTGCCACGCCTGCGACCCGCGTTGTCTATGACTCATCCTCCCATGGCCGTGGTAGTTGAATCTGGTCTCGAGTGCGCTGGAATCCGACCCGATGGTCATTCGTCGACTTGCACTCTGGGACGCACACCTTCCACGTGACACCCGCAGTATGCCTGAAATCACAAAGGAAGTCGGCATCGCCTTTGCTCTCACGTGGGCCGCGGCGTTCGCGACCTGTCTCGGTGGTCTCGTCATCTTTAGCGCGTCCATGGTCAAGATGGCCAGCGCCAAGAACCTCTCGATCGCGCTCGCGCTCGCCGGTGGTGTCATGGTCTTCATCTCGCTCGTCGAGATTTTCAACGAGTCGGTCGAACAGTTCAAGGCTGGCAACGCGGACGAGGCCGGCGAGTGCGACCCGACGTGCGAGGGCAACGCGTGGGTCTATACCAACATTTGCTTTGCCATTGGCGCTGGTATCATCTACCTCCTTGATGCGATCGTGCACCGCCTCTCCCCCGACCTCAAGGACGAAGTCGACGTCGCCGATCTCTCGCGCCTCGAGCAAGTAGTCGATGGCCACGTGCCCCTCTCAACGCCACTCGACTGCGAGAAGGAGACGCTCGCCGGGAAAGAGAAGGCGGCCATGAACCGCACGGGCATCCTCACGGCGATTGCACTGGCGATCCACAATCTCCCGGAAGGTATTGCCACGTACACGGCGGCAGTCCACGACCTCAAGGTCGGCGCAACCCTTGCCATTGGTATCGCGCTGCACAACATTCCCGAAGGCATCGCTGTCGCAACGCCTGTCTACTTTGCGACGGGCAACCGCTGGAAGGCGTTCTTCTGGGCCTGTGGGTCGTCGCTCGCCGAGCCGCTCGGCGCGATCCTTGCCTTCTTCATCCTCGGCGACGGCCTCAATCCGTCTGTCGAGGGCGCGATGTTTGGTCTTGTCGCTGGTATGATGGTGACGCTCTCGATCAAGGAGCTCATCCCGTCGGCCGTCAAGTTCTACCCCGACGGCCACGCTGTCTCGATCGCGATTCTGGGTGGCATGGGCCTCATGTCCCTGAGTCTCATCCTCTTTGCCTATGTCGGTGTCTAAGGCGACGCTCCTTAAAGGTGTTGTCTCCAGTGCTACATGGAATAAGATCTTGTTTGTGTTTTTCGGGGTCGTACATTCAACTTGATATTTTTCTACCGAAATAAAAATGTCGGACTTTCTTTGCTGCGTACCCCCGGTTGAGGGACGTAGGTAGACGGTAACGCGATCGACAAGGTGCTGGCGCTCGTGCTGTGCAAGGAGCCGGAGAAGTCGATGAAGAGCAAGCTGCTCGGGGTCTTGTACGAGGCTGTGGTGCAAGTGTAGTTGAGCGACACGTGCCGCCTTGACGGCAAGCGTCCATGGACTTATCAGTGGTAGGTCGGTGCGAAAGACGCGATCGTTCCGGACTCGCCAGACGTTGAACCGGACGCAGGCGCGGAGCACGGGCCAGAGGTAGCGGATCACGGCTTGGTGCATGTTGGAGGCCGTCTTGGGCGTCGAGTAGAGGTAGCCCGAGAGCGTTGTCGGCAAGGTCACGCCTAAGGGGAACGTAACCGCATGAAGCGTGCCCCACATGTCCTTGATGAAGTCGCTGTCCACGAGGAGGTGGCGGTACTCTCGTGCTCGGGGCAGAAAAGGCATGCTTGGTCGACCCTGTCGAGCCAGTGCAAATGGGCGCGGAACTTGACCGCGCGCAGCATTACTTGGTAAACAAGTCGGCTTGCACTTGGATAAGATGGCGTCGGGTAGTCGGAGCTCAGATGTGGAGGCCATGGCAGCAGACGCATCGCAGAAGTCGTCATCGACGACTAAATGGCGGGTCAGGAGCTGCGGGTGCGACATTGGCGGGGCGTGCCTACTTCTGTCTTGCGGTGCTGATAACGTTGAGTTGACGAGGTCGACATGCAGCTAGCGAGCTTCACAGTGTCAGACAGAGAGCTGAAAATACACACCGTGTTGCTGCACAAGCGATCAAGGCAGGCTCCATGATTTTACATGGCAGGGACAAGACGACTGATGGAATACAAAAATCGTTACTCATTATTGTCGTCCAGTTACTGCGAACGAGACTACTGGAACTCGTCTACATTTCAAACTCTTCGTGGTGCACGGCAAAGCGCGTCGAGTGCGCTTGCGCATCGATCGCACGCGACAGAGTCTTGGGCCCCGAGACGTAGACACCGATCGCTGGCGTCGTCCAGCTCTTGGTCGTACCGTCCACGAGGCTCGAGAAGAAGTGCGGCCAGTCCATGCGGCCTTTCTGGACGCTGTAGCGCTCGATGAACGCCTCGTCCGACATCATCGGCTCCTTGGGGACCTCGTCGACCTGCGAGCGCGCGACCGGCACCGGCGTGTACGGCTTGACCAAGACGACGACGTAGGCCCAGTAGGCGCCAATGACGATCGCGAGAAACTCCATCAAGCGCTGCAGCGGCCAGTACGACGGGTCGGCGGTCGTGATCTTGGTGTTGTAGTGCACCGCAACAAAGAGCGAGCCGGCGCCAAAGAACGCAGCGATGAACAAGAGCACCTGGCGCAGCGTCGACACGTTCGCGTACGGCCGCGGCGCCACGTTCGAGCTC